GGACATTTTAAATTGATTTAAAATTATATATTTTGAGAGATCGATTGTTTGAATTAATTGATGAAATTTAGTCAGGGAGGAGTTTGTTTTGATCGTATATATATAATTATCTTTCATTTATTAGTCTACAATTCATTATTTATCATGGGAGAATTAATCTGAAATTGAATAGATCTAACCAATTCATATTATCTATGCCTGCATGATGCAGAAGTATTGATGATTTTGCATGCAGAATTATGATTGTCGCAATATTTCCTTGAATATGCTTAACAAAGGATAAATTTCTTAATACAGTAATGCATTATTTTTTTTTAATATGTACGTACGTATGTAGTGTTTAATAATTAAATATTTATAAGCATCACGTTTTAACCAAATTATTTTGTTGTATACTTCATTCTAATTAATTGTTTTTTTGTTCTAATTAATTCAGTTTGTGATAATAAGAATTTTGTTCTAACCATCTCATTTTGTTATAATTTTCGTTCTAGTTAATTCATTTCATTTGTAATGAATTATATTTGTATTGTTCAGAGTTATGACGGAGTCAATTATTTTTGCTTTTTTATTATATGATACCTTTATTAGGTTTATTTTATTTGCTTAATCAAGCATAGTGGGTCAATCTGTTAATCGGTGTGTTCATTGATAATATTATTTAAATTCACGAATTAGGTCTAATGTTGTTAAACAAACCTTTTAGTAAAATGACAAAAGACGAAACTTTGTTATTTCAAATGACAAAACCTCTGATGAAATCTGCAAAATCTTTGGAACCTGCGAAACTCATGAAACCTGTGAAATCTCTATAAAGACTAATTTTTATAGACAGTGAAATTTCTAATAAAAGGTAAAGTTCTTCATAAAGAATTAAGACTTTAGTAAAGATAAAGCCTTAAAGGATATGTTATCGTTTAGATGTAAAGTTTTTATTTTGGATTAATCTTAATTAAAAATTTGTTATCAAATGTAAAGTCATTGTTTGGATGTAATGTTATTGTTTGGATGAAAGTTATTGTTTTGTATAGTTTTTAATCAAAAGTGAAGCTATATTTTGAATACAGAATTACAATTTTTGAATAGTTTTTGATTAAAAATTGTATGATGATTTAGATATAATTTCAATATTTTTGTATAATTCCTAATTAAAGATCATGGTATAGTTTGAATGTGATGTTACAAGTTCTAATTACAGCGCTTTTCAAATTACTGTGACCAGCAAATTCATGCATCACACTGGAAATCAAGAATCTAGAAAAAATGCCAATCTATGATTGGTTAAAAAATTATTAGAATAATTTTTAGCCAATCATAGATTGGCATTTTTTCTTGATTCCTGATTTTCGGTGCGATACGTAGAACCTGCTGTTACAGTAATTTGAAAAGCGCTGTAATACAGAGTTATTGCAATTTTAAAATCGGTTTTTTTTTGAATTGCTATAATTCTTTATGGTGATATTTTTTTAAAAGATTAATTAGTAGTTATGTAAAATTCTGTTTTATATATAAAGTTACCAGCTAATTTTTTAAAAAGCATTTCCTACATAAAGTTTTAGCAATTTAAAAAATACTGTATTTATGGCACAGTATATAGAGATACATTGATTCATCGGTTAATCCATTATTATATTTTTATTGAATCTGATGTAATTTATACATCATATACATTACGATCATATCGATTATATCAAATTGATTATCTAATTATAAGGAGTTTAGTCTAATTTAAGCTTTAGAAGTTAGTGTTAGCCAATCGCATTTATCGCTTAAGTTGGATTAGTCTCAAGTTGGTTCTCCATCTTCACTATCTTCGATAAAAAAGTATTTGACCTTGATTTTACAGCGCTTTTCAAATTACTGTCACCAGCAGATTCTACGTATCACACCGGAAATCAAGAATCTAGAAAAAATGCCAATCTATGATTGCTTAAAAAATTATTAGAATAATTTTTAGCCAAACATAGATTGGAATTTTTTTCTTGATTTCTGATTTCCAGTGTGATATGTAGAACCTGCTGGTGACAGTAATTTGAAAAGCGCTGTAATTAATTACTTTATTTATATGCACAAGCAATTTATATAAGTGATAGTGCTTATTTAGTTTGTTGCTTTATTACTTTAGTTCTAATACGAAGAACTTACAAGTTACAATTTTAGTTAGATCTGTTATAACGATAAGCTTTTTTTTTTTCACACTATCTATATTGTAATTGATCATGCGCAACATAATGTAAAGTGCTAATTTATAATTTATTAATGTTAAATAAATTTTAATAATTTATACAATCGAAAATGATTATTTATAATTTAATTACGCGAAGTCATCTGACAAACGAATTCATAAGCTAAATATTTAGATGAAAAATTTGCATTATGTGGTAAGTCATCAACAAAAGAAAGAAAAAAACTTAGATGATTATTACAGTATTAGGAATAACATTTTTTGCAAATTTTAAATGAAACCATTGCACAAATGACATTACTCTTAATTGGTTAAAACTGTTAATCATGTTATAAATATTTTTACGAAAATTTTTAGGAATATTATTTATTTTGGTCTTTGCTCTTGAAGTATGAAGGAAATTCTGACAATTTTGAAGGATAATAATTTCATCTTCTTCAATACCAAATTTTGTGTAATCTTGGTAGATAGACTTGAGATATGCAGCGAATTGGTAAATCTGGCGATATTTATGAATATTAGGAATTCAGAGTAAGATAGAATATACAACACGGATTATCGGAAGTATTTGAGAGCGATGGGTCTATATAATATCAATTGAGGTAATATTTCGAAAAGTTTGAAGATTATGATTCTTAAAATTTATAATGACTGGGATATAATTCAATTTTTTTTATGATAGACAACAAAAAATATGCAGCTTATTTATTATTTATTATTATGGCTGAAGTTCGAAATGGATGAAGCTTGAAATTAGGGACCTTGATTTAAATATATAAATTTTACTAAAACCTACTTATACATTTTAATTATTAAAACTAATTCTAAATTTTAAACTAATTATAAAAGAAAAACTAAAACATGCACCCTAAAATTTTTTGAAAATTTCATATCAGAGTATTTAAAATTTCAAGCTTTGGCTGTTTTAAGTTTTAGCCGCGATATTTATTATTTAAATATGAAAAAAAAGGAAAGTTTATCTCATGATTTGTTGTTGCATATATTCACAAATAAATTTTTTTCTAACCTGATTATTTACTTTGTTAAATCATTAATTATAAAATTAGAAATGTTATTTTGCTAAACTGGTTGGTTGTATATCGAAATTCTGTTCTGAAGTATATACATAAATCAAGTTTTAAAATATGGCTTAAAACTGGTTATAGATATGACTATTAATTATGCTTGATTGAACAAATTCAAAATTTGTTATTCTGTTGAAATATAAGTGAAGTGGGGTGCCACCGGTGCCCCTATTGCATTACTTGTGTCAACAAATTATTTAATATATGTATTCTCCACCTACATCACACTGGGTAACAATTTACTAACAATATGTACCCAAAATTAATAAAATGCTAGACAGTCACTCTTAGTGATGGGCTATAAACATGGCCATGTGATATTTATATCCAGTATCTATAATAAAATAGCAGATTTCTTTGTGAGAGAAGGAGGGTTGCGACAGATAATGCGAAATTAAAACTGCACCCTCCTCAGAATTAGCATTTTCTCACAGTATTCATTATTAAGAATTACTATATATGGGTCGTCTAAAGCCATGTTCTTACAGGACTTTTTACGTAAATCAACCAACTGGAATTGCGAAATCTTGTTTACACAGATCAGCCTGAAGAAGTCAAAAAATAAAGAAAATGTAAAAAGATGAAAAACGACAGTCTTAACATATTTTGGGGCACTAATTAAAAATGCTGGGAAGGCAATTTTACCCATATTTCTCTTCGCATATCAATACCAAACTAACCCTAATCCTAATCTTAATTTTAATTTAAACGGTTAAAACGTTAAAATTACGTAGGTATATAGCTTTAGCCATCCCCTATATACAGAAGGTCATTTAGAATCATACTCATCCGTAATTTTGATTATGCGGGATTAGTCCTGTTTACATTGCTATTTTCACAGGGTAAATTACTTTGCTTAACGCTTTTTTGATCTGTTGAATTATCAAATTACCTGAATTATTAAAACAAACATTGGTACGGTATCTTATCATTATCCGACCAACATTACAATTTCATTTTTTTAGTAAGTTTTATATGTGAGATTACAGATTTTGCGCGTGCTATAAAAATGATGGCATCATATATAAAATTACAATTTTTTACGCATAGCTATAAAATATATGCAAAAATTACTACTTTTCACATGCTATCATCAATTATTAGATTTCATGACGGCATTATCAGGTATGCGAAATTTTTCAACATGATATTACATGATCAATAATGTTGATAATCGCCATTTTCTCACGTACTGACAATCTTTGCCTGTTACTGACGATTTGAAATCATGAGTCGTGCTCTTATTAGTTCTGACCAATCAGATACTTTGAAATGGTCAACATACTTGTGATAGCGGATAATCTTTATTATTGTTATAAAAGTTGATCAGAACCTGTTAATTCAAGTCATGAACCATACACTTACATAAGAATTTAGTTATGACCAATCAAGTGCTTTGGTGCAGACAGACAGCAGTAATTTTATTATATTTTGATGAATTGAATTGAATACATGTATAAATTTATATTTAATTAAATTGTGATTGGTCAATTTCTGCAGATTATAATGCGATATGGTAAAAAATATTTATTTAAAATATATTTGTTATTGTATAATTGTTAAAAAAAAAAATCAAAAATTATTACAAAGTTTACTATTTGTTAATAGATGTTCATATATATATATATATATATATATACATAAACGCTATACTAAAGAATCGTTAGATCGCTTATTTTTTACATAATATATAATAATATAATTTATAGCACATCTTTAGCTATAATCACCTATTTAGTTGGTGTATTAGTAGACACGGGAGATGTTATTTCTGATTCATTCGAATTAGTCAATACCTGTTTTGCCAGATCTGTCAGTTTTCGATAGCTTCTAGTTCGTTCATACGGTTTGGTAGTTGTAGATGAGGGTTTGATTATAGTTGTATTTTTAATCACGGATGATTTTTTTTTATTTTTGGTATTTTTGGCAACAGGAGGTTCAATGATGGTTGAAGTTTGGCTCACAGATAGCGAATCTTCTTTTTTAGTACCCGCATCAACTCTTGCGGCTATTTTTTCGGCAATGCTTATAGATTTACTTGCTTCGCTCGAAGTTTCAGTTTTCCAGGAAATGTTCACAGAATTCAATAGCGGTTTTTGTTGGTCAGAAAAAGACATACTCTTGACGTGAACATAATTTTTATTATTGTGCAAAATAAATTCCCCACTAATAAAAAGGATTGAATTTTTTTTTATAGCCGGAGTTAGACGAGTCAGATGTGGTGCTGATGCTAAATAGTGACAATCTATCTCAGTGATACATGTATCTTGATCTACATGATCAGTGAGCGCGACAACCATAATAGCATCGTCATCTTTAACACTCGGGGGTTTTCGTATAGTTACAGTCATATTGATCAAGACCGGAAACTTTGGAATGTCACTCGGATTTATGTTGAGTTTTACAAGATCGTTCAAAATAATCTAATTTTTATTTTTATAGTATATTTAAGTGAATATTCAGGAGATGGTCTATTGAAAAAGATCCGTATTATTTCATCAAAAATCACTTCACTAATAATTTAGTTTACCGACAGTTAATTTATGGACAAGCTTATTTTACAGACAATTAATTCACGGACAAGTTTATTTCACTGACAATTTATTTTACTGACCGCTCTTTTTTTCACAGACAAAGTAATTCTAATCATTGTTGTTGGGATCAGATTCAGAATGAGAGTTAAGATTAGCGCAATTTATAAAAAAAAACTCGTCGGTGAAATGAGCTGTAGGTAAAATAACTTGTCAGTGAAATGAACTTGTCTGTGAATTAATTGTCAGTAAAATAAGCTTGTCTGTAAATTAACTGTCGGTGAACCAAATTGTCGGTAAAGTGATAAATTAACGGAACTGCTTTTTAATACTTTCCAAACTTTCCGATGTTCTTATAAGTTATACTATTAACTTACGAGCTATAGTGTTTGTGTTAATAACAAATGTAATATGTTATTAGAATTGAAATATCGATATTTCGACTTAAAAAATATTATTCATTATACCATTAACTTACGAGCTATAGAATAATAAATGAAATATGTTATTAAAATTGAATTATCGATATTTTGGCTTGAAAATATTCTTATCAGTTATACTGTTAACTTACAGTCTATTGTATCGTCGTTTGATTGTGTTGACGTAACAGAAATAGTATATTATTAGAATTGTATTATTGATATTTTTGGCTTGAAAAATATTTGATTTTTTTTGACTTGAAAAATATTGAATATTTTTATCAACTTATATTGTTAACTTACCGACTATTATGATATTGTTTGATTATTTTAATATAATGGATATGTTATTAAATTGAGTTATTGATATTTTAACAGATAATATTCTTCAGTTATATTGTTAACTTACCCGCTACAATGTTTATGTTAATGCAACAGAAGTAATATGTTATTAGAACTGAATTATCGCTATTTTTATTTAAAGTATTCTATCAATTATGCTGCTAACTTACAGACTATTGTAGTATCATTGATATAACAGATTTAATATTATTAGAATTTGATTTTTAATTAAAAATATTTTATCAGTTATACAATTAATTACATGCTATAGCATTAACATAACAAATATAATATGTTGTTAGAATTGATATAAAAAATATTCTTATCAACTACACTAATAACTTACTTTCTAATATAGCTGATTTGTTAATATAACAGATTTAATATATTATTGAAATTAAAATATCAGTATTTTGATTTAAAAAATATTCCGGTTCAGCTCACTTCACCGACGCCCGTTTTGTAGAAATAACATTTCACTGACAACAATTCACCGACATGTTATTTCACCGACATTTATTTTCTATTTCATCGGCAGTTTATTTCATCGAAACTCATTTCACTGACAAAATAATTCTGGTCATTGTCGTTAGGTCAGGTTAGAATTAGAGTTAATGTTGGTGGAATTTATAAAAAAAATTTGTCTATGAAATGAGCTTCGGTGAAATAAACCGTCAATAAAATAAAACACTATAGCCCGTAAGTTAACAACATAACTGATAAGAATATTTTTTAAGCCAAAATATAGATAATTCAATTCTAATAACATATTACATCGATTATATTATCACAATAGACAAATCAGACAAGACTACAATAGCGGGTAAGTTAACAATATAACTGAAGTGAAATATTGATTTTTTGACTTGAAAATATTCTTATCTGTTATGCTACTAATTTACTCGCTATAGCATTTGATTGTGTTAATGCAACATAAGTAAGATGTTATTATATTTGAATTATCGATAGTTATGACTTAGATATTCTTGTCAATTATACAATTAACTTACTTGCTATAGTATTTGAATGTGTTTATATAACAAAAATAATATGTAATTATCGATATTTTTGACTTGAAAAATATTTTTATCAGGTATACTATTAACTTACACACTATTATAATGTTATTTGTTTGTGTTGATGTAACAGAGACAATATGTTATTAGAATTGAATTATTAAGACTTTTGCTGAAAAAATGCACTTATTAGTTACACTGCTAACTTACATACTACAGTGTTTAATCGTGTTGGTATAACAGAAGTAATATATTATTAGAATTGAATCACCAAGATTTTTGACTTAAAAATATTCATATTGCTTATATAGTTAACTTACTGACTATTGTGGTGTTGTTTAATTGTATTAAAGTAACAAAAGTTATATGTTATTATCGATATTTTTGCCTTGAAAAATATGTTTATCACTTATACTGTTAACTTACTCGCTATTACATATTATTAGAATTGAATTATTAAGAATATTTTTGACTTGAAAAATATTTTATCAGTTATATTGTTAAATTACAGCCTATTGTATTTGTGTTAAGATAACAGATGTCATATATTATTAGAATTGAATTATTGAGATTTTTAATTTAAAAAATACTCTTATCAGCCATACTGCTAACTTACTCGCTATAATGTTTAGTAATATATTATTGAAATTGAATTTTCAATATTTTTTGATTTGAAAATATTTATATCAGCTTTACAGTTAACTTACTGACTATTTTAGTGTTATTAGCATTGACGTAACAGAAATGATATATTATTAGAATTAAAATATTGATATTTTTTGCTTGAAAATATTCTTATCAGTTATACTGTTAACTTACAGACTATTGTAGCATTATTTGATTGTTTTGATTTAACAGATATAATATGTTATAAGAATTGAATTATCGATATGTTTGACTTAAAAAAATTCTTATTAACTTACCGGCTATTGTAGTGTTATTTGATTATATTGAAGTAATATGTCATTAAAATTGAAATATTGATATTTTTGACTTGAAAAATATAAAAAATATTTATCAGTTATACTATTAACTTACTCGCTATAATGTTTGTTTATATTGACATAACAGGTATAGTATGTTATAATAATTTTGGATTATCGATCTTTTTTGACTTGAAAAATATTCTTATTCTGTTAACTTACTCGCTATAGCATTTGATTGCATTGATATAACAGATGTAATATATTATTAGAATTGAAGTATCAATTTTTTTACTTCTTATCAGTTATTTTGTTAACTTACTCGCTATAGTGTTGATTGTGTTGTTATTGCATATATAATATGAAATTAATATTTTTAATTTAAAAAAATATTCTTATCAGTTATACTGTTAACTTACATTCTATAGTATTTGATTGTGTTGATATAACAGATATAATTTGTTATTAGAATTAATTTATTGACATTTTTGGCTTAAAAATTATTTTTTATCAGTTATACTGTTAACTTACGTGCTATAGTATTTGATTGAGTGATGTGACAGATATAATATATTATTATAATTGAATTATTTAGATTTTTAGCTTGAAAATGTCTTTATCAGTTCTCCTGTTAACTTACTCACTATTTTAGTATTGTTTTATATATTAATATAACAGATATAATATTAGAATTGAATTATCAATATTTTTACATAAAAAATTCTTATTAGATATACTCTTAACTTACACACTATTATAATGTTTAATTGTATTGATGTACGTAACAGATATATGTTATCAGATTTGAATTAGTGATGATTTGAAAATATTCTTATCAGTTATACAACAGGAGGAGGAACCATTGATGTTACACGACTGATCCTTCACCCAGTGTGCAACATATAAAAAAATTATTTTACAATACCAGATCAGTCCGCTAGTACATGTTATGATTATAATCCCACACCATTTTCTTATAATAAAAATAGTGTGGGATTATAAATCATAACATGTACTAACGGACTGATCTGGTATTGTAAAATAATTTTTTTATATGTTGCACACTGGGTGAAGGATCAGTCGTGTAATATCGACGGTTCATCCTGTTCAGTTATACTAATAACTTACTCGCTATAGTGTTTAAAATTGTGATAACAGATATTATATATTATTATAATTGAACTATTAGTATTTTTGATTAGTCATGCTGTTAACTCACAAACTAACGCGGCGTTGTTTGATTGTGTTGATGTAACAGAAATAATATATTCTTAGAATTGAATTATCAATATTTTTGACTAGAAAAATATTTTTATCAGTTGTACTATTAACTTACACACTATGGTAGTTGTTGGATTGTGTTGACATAACAGATATAAAATGTTATTAGAATTGAATTATTAGTATTTTTGGCCGAAAAATAATCTTAATAATTAAACTATTAACTTACGGACTGTTGTAATATTTGATTTGTTGATGTAACAGATGTGATATATCATTAGAATTGAATTAATATTTTGATATGAAAAATATTCTTATTAGTTATACTATTAACTTACTTGCTATAATGTTTGATCGTGTTGATGTAAAGATATTATATACTATTAGAATTGAACTATTGATATTTTTAATTTGAAAATATTCTTATCATTTATACTGTTGACTTACCCGCTATAGTGTTTAGTTTGTATTGATACAATAGAAGTAATATATTAACATAATTAAAATAGCAATATTTTTGACTTGAAAAATATTCTGATTAGCTATATTGATAACTTACGCGCTATAGTGTTCAATTGTGTTGACATAACAGATGTAATATGTTATTAGAATTAAATTATTATTATGTTTGATCTGAAAAGTATTCTTGTCAATTATACTACTAACTTACATTCTATAGCATTAAAATGTGTTGATATAACAGATGTAACAGGTTATAAGAATTGAGATATCGACATTTTTGATATGAAAAATATTCTTATCAGCTATATTATTAACTTACGTACTATAATGTTTGATTGTGTCATATAACAGACGTAATATATATTAGAATTGTTAATATTTTTGATTTAACAACATTCTTATTAATTATACTGTTCCCTTACGTGCTATAATGTTTGATTGTATTGACGCAACAGATGTAATAATATTGGAGTTGAATTATTAATATTTTTGACTTAAAACATATTCTTATCAGTTATACTGTTAACTTACTTGCTATAGTGTTTGATGATGTTATGTAACGGAAGTAATATATTAACAGAATTGAATTATCAATATTTTTTACTACTAACTTACCGACTGTTGTAATATTGTTTGATATATTGTTATTAAAATTGAATTATCGATAATTTTGATTTGAAAATATTTTTATCAGTTATGCTGTTTACTTACTAGCTTATAATATTCGACGTAATAGACACAATATTGAATTATCGATATTTTTTACTTTGTCGTACGTATGTTTAATAATGATGTTATCCGATAGTTAATATGACTATGTGAATTTTTTCTGTGATATTTTGTAAAACTGATTACGTAATTTCATGTAAAAAAATATCATGGCAAAAAAATTCACATGATCAAATGAAATGTCGGATAATTATCAGTTATACTGGTGACTTACCGACTATTGCAATGGATGTAATATGTTATTAGAATTGAATATCAATATTTTTTATTTAAAAATTCTTATTATCATTTGTGCAATTATCTTACCGACTATAATAGATGTAATATATTATTAAAATTAAATTATCAATATTTTAATTTGAAAATATTCTTATCAGTTATACTGTTAACTTACTGACTGTTGTAGTATTGTTTGATTGTGTTGACATGATAGATATAATAAATGTAGTATATTATTATAATTGAATTGTAGAATTTTTGACTTGAAGAATATTCTTATCAATTATACCGTTAACTTACGTGCTATAGTGTTTAACATAACGGATATAATATGTTATTAGAATTAAATTACAATTTTTATCAGTTATACCGTTAACTTACTTGCTATAGTGTTTGTGTTGACGTAATATGTTATTAGAATTAAATTGTTGATATTTTTGACTTGAAATATATTCTTATCAAGCTATATTATTAGCTTACATGCTATAGTGTTGGATTACGTTAGCAAAACAGATATAATATGTTATTAGAACTGAATTATTGATATTTTTGACTTAAAAAATATTCTTATCAATAACAATGTAATAAGTGAATAATCGATATTTTTGACTTGAAAAATATTCTGGACAGTATACTGTTAACTTACCCACTATTATAGTGATATTGTGTTGATGTAAATATGTCATATGTTATTAGAATTGATTTTTGATATTTTGACTTGAAAAATATAGTAAATTACTAACTTACTCGCTATAGTATTTGATTGTATTGATGCAACGGATGTGATATGTTATTGAAGTTGAATTATCGAAAACTATTCTTATCAGTTATACTGTTAGCTTACGCACTATTGTATATTATTTGATTGTGTTGACATAACAGAATGTAATATGTTAGTAGAATTGAATTATTATTCTAATCAGTTATATTATTTACTTACGTACTATAGTGTTTGATTGTGTCAATGTAATAGATGTAATATGTTATTAGAATTGAATTATCGATCTTTTTTACTTGAAAAGTATTCTTATAATTTACATTATTTACTCACGTGCTATAATGTTTGATTGTGTTGATGTGTCAGTTGTAATTATTAGTATTGAATTGATGTTTTTGATTTGAAAAATATTTGGTATCGGTTATACTGTTAACTTACGAGCTATAGTGTTTGATTGTGCCAACACAGCAGATGTAATATGTTATTAGATGAGTGATTTTATTAAATTACCAAGTTTTGTAATTTTAAGGCTTATATTTACGCTTCTTTAGCTAATTCAATAGCCTTTAGTGCCCATGTATCATTTGGTTTAATCTTTAATAAATTCTCCAAGTCACCAATTGATTCCTTATACTTTTTCATTAAATAATTAACTTCACTTCGATATCTTAATGCTATTAAATTATCTTGTTCAATTTTTAGTAATTTGGTCAAATCTTCAAGTGCTTCTTTATAGTTTCCTATAATAAAAAAGATTCTTCCTCTATAACTTAAGTCAATTGGATTACTTGGATTTTTTTTCCAATGATTTGGTTAATATGTTAAGAGTTTCATCATATTCAAATGCGAATACATTGTTTAATTTGTCACTGATATCTTTATCATTCATTACTAATAGAAATAGATAAGATAAATGTGAAACAATATATTAAACAATCGAACAGCGATTATGGTTATGAATTATTTAAATGACTTTCCAGAATATTCAAATTTTCTATCTCCAAAATTTGCTTCTACAGACCTTCTTTCGATCTAAGTCCAATACAAGGATACAAAATATTTTCTAAACCATTGGGCAGAATGCATGCAATTCCTTGAAATATAATATAAAAGATCAAATTCATATCTAATCTTTGGAAATGCTAAAATTTAAATACTAAATAACAATTACCTAGATTTACTCCATTTTTAGTATAAAATACTATCTTATTTTTGAAATTTATATAGCATCCAATAGTATCACCAGTAGTAAATGATGGCCCATACGGCTCGCCACCTCCAGAACAAAAGGAATATCCATCATCGCCATGGTAACCCCATGAGTTAGTTTT